ACACCCACCTTTCACATGGAGATCTGGCAGGTTTCAGAGTACTTCAGATCCTTTGCAGGGCCTATCCCTCTTGGTCACAATCTCATGTCTTTCTTGGATTGAGGGTGAGTGAACTCTCTCCCTATGTCAGGGTGGCTACTTTATATGGTTTATGGTTCTTTTTCTGTCAGGCCACTTGAACCAGGTCAAACCATTCTATGCTATTTCTCCAGGGCAGAGGCGTAGCAAGCGCCCTCCGTACCCTCCGACCGGAGGGGGCCCCGCAAGGAAGGGGGCCCCTAAAAGTGGCAAAATAAATACCGCATTCCAGTTTCTGCATTGTAAGGGGCCCCGCCCGGACATATGTTCGGAGGGGGCTGCCGTTTGGAGGGGGCCACGCTCTTTGTTGCTACGGCCCTGCTCCAGGGGGCAAAATTTCCCCATACTTGTTACCTGCTTTGTTTAACATTAGAGATTTGCATAAATTACCTTCCCACCCCCCACCCTACCCCCAGTGATTTTAGCTCCTACAGGAAAATATCTTGTAGCAGCACACCCATTGAGCTAGGAGTCCAGTCACTAGCCAGCCCATAACAATATGTGCATCGTTATAACACTTAGAAAGTTGATACAATAATATTTGAATATTCCATGTTTCCAAAGCATAGCATGTGTCCCACACACTTCTTCACTAACACTATTTATTATAATTACAGTGTAATCCTTCCTCTCTAAAAAGTGTTAACAAAGAAATGGGAAAAAAACCAACACAAAGAAGTAGACCTATCAAGACTTGCTAAATCGTCCTGTTGAGTCACTTTGCTTTTTGGGGTACCCCACTCTCATCCTTCTGTAAGGATAAGGCCTTTGTCTGCAACCATATTGTAAGGCCTAAAGCCTAAGGCCTTCCTCTGAGACAGATTAAAAGAGCAGCCAAGCAGCAGCCATTAGCTGAGAAGCAGAAAGTCACATCCTTACATTCCATTTAAATTACATTAAAGCAATGTAATATCAGGCTGTTAAGAAGGAGACCCTGTCCTAATGGCACCCACAATCACCAGATAAAGAATGATGGCTAAAGAAAACTTAGTTTAATAGCATCCTGTCTGGCAAGAAATCACCTATCAATAGTTGTGGTTGTGAAATCCTCATTTCTTTATTGTTTTGTCATTATGGTCCCCACTTCCCTATTGTTTATCCGTATGGTCTCTGTCTGGTTCTTTGATTGTTTCTGTCTGTTACATAATTAATTTTGCTAGGTGTAAATTAATTAAGGTGGTGGAGTAGGATTGGTTAAATAATTTTGTTACACTATGTTAGGATTGGTTAGTAAAATTTTAGTGTAATGATTGGTTAAGATATAGCTAAAAAGAACTCAAATTTCACTATATAAACTGGGGTCCAAAAGGAAGTTATTTGGGAACTAACTCCAGGACACAGCCCCAAAGATCAGAGTTGCCAGACCGTAACACTCTGCCAATGACACCGTGCAGAAACTGAAGTCCCCCAGATGGACCTGTTTCTGACTGGCCATCAAGAAAAGTTCATGTGTTTTATTGGAAGTGGTGAGCACTGTATGTGTAACATGTGCAGTCTGTTTTTGGTGATTGTTAATAAATAGAGATTATGTAGTATATTACTGTGTAAGGCTCTTTCACTGGTAAAAGGTCCTGCAAACCTGCAGATGTAGTATACACCCAGAGCCCTAAGTATTGGGAAAGGGTGGGGGTACTTAAATTTACCAGGTTAGTTACACCCTGAGCCCTATGAATTGGGTATGGGTGGCCCTAAACCCTACGGATTGGGTAAGGGTAGGTGCTTTTTGCCTGGAGCCCTATGAATTGGGAAAAGGTGGGAGTGCCTAAATTAACCAGGTTACGTCTGGAGCCCTACGGACTGGGAAAATGTAGGGTGCCCTAATGTGTGCAGGTAACGCTTCCTTCATTTATACATAGTCTTTTTCAGCTCCTCCAGGCAACAGCCATTCCTTCCTACTTGTTGTCCAGCACCAAGCACACTTTTGGGGATGTAGTGATAGTCATAATGTCTGTGCCTTCTAGAGTTTGAGCAGGGCAAATAATGCAAAATATAGTTTGACAATATTCAAGTGAATTTCATAGAATATCAGGGTTGGAAGGGACCTCAGGAGGTCATCTAGTCCAACCCCGTGCTCAAAGCAGGACTAATCCCCAGACAGATTTTTGCCCCAGATCCCTAAATGGCCCCCTCAAGGATTGAACTCACAACCCTGGGTTAGGCAGGCCAATGCTCAAACCACTGAGCTCCCTGAAATTTGTTTTAGCCAGGCTCATGCCCTGTTCATGTTTCATAGTTTCGAAAACCAGAAAGGACCATTGTGATCATAATCTAAACATAGGCCATAAAACTTTCCCAAACTAATTTCTGGAGCAGATCTTTTAGAAAAACAGCCAATCTGGATTTTAAAATGGTCAGGGATGGAGAATCCACCATGACCCTCAGTAACTTGTTCCAATGGTTAATCACCCTCACTGTTAAACATTTACGCTGTATTTCTAGTTTCCAGCCACCCAACCTATACAGCTACCTCTCCCATCGAAAGTGGAACAATGTTCCACAAACCCCTCTATCCTACAACACTTCCCTAGCCAGCAGTTTGCTTCCAGAATCTTCTGCCTTTTATTTTCCTGCACTTGTGAGACAGGAAGGATCTCAGAGAAGATTGCTTGAACATTCTTCTTCAGCATGCTTCTGAGTTCCTTGAAGTCATCTACTATCTGTGAGATATTCCATGTTGCCCGTTGACTTTATCAGACTATTCAGTCTTAGAGTGATGTCTCATGTGTTGGCTCTGGGAAGACAGCACAACATCCTGTTATCCACCTGTCCCTTGCAGAATGTCTTATTGATTCTTCTCAGTACTGAATACCCAACAAGGATCAACTGTCTCCCTTGGATGCTTGGAATTTTCTTTAGAGGTAAGCTTGATTTTCTTACAGGTTGGGCTGAGCTTCCATCCACATGTAGGGAGTAATGGTCTAAGTTGCAGTGGGGGAGGTTTAGGTTGGATATTGATGTAAGCAGTCAGGATGAGCTCTACCCTGACATCTGGTGGTGAATTATGGCGAGTGTGGAAAAGAACTCCAGTAAGGGGACGAAA